CAATGGTCAAAAGTTTAGCTACGATGGTCACGTGATAGTTGAGGAGGGAGGGGAACGAACCTCTTTTAGGAAGTTCGATCAAATGGATCAATGTTTTATGTCCTCTGTTACTTTGGGGTCTCCCAATGACTCTCTCTCTGTCTTCGCTGCACCTGCAGCTTCGCCCTTGAACCATTTTAGACCTTTTAATGTGAGGCTTAAAATGAACAAGGCTCTCATCTTCGGCTTCAAAATAATCAAGGTTTGATGCCTCTGTAGATTATCGAATCACAGAGCCAGAAACATTGCAACGTCTGGGTCCCTGTACTTGACAGGGCCAACTAGCCAAAAGCAACCGACAGAACAAAAATGGTGGAACCCCCCCCAAAAAAAGTGGGCAAAAACATGTTCTCCCCAAACTGCCCCTCCCACTTAAAATAGCGATAGACTTTTCTTCTAAAGGAAGAAATTATATTTTAAAAGACATCCTCATCAGTATCTTGTAAGAGACTGAAGACTAGCGTTGCATGGGCATTAGTCAGGGAAGCGGGAAAATGGGTATAACTTAAACTGTGAAACATAATGAACGGATATTCAATACAAGATAGAAGAGTATTTAATTCCCATTTCAAAAAATCTCCATTCATAAATGTAGCGCCATATTGTTAATACTTGTATGACACAGCATTACATTAAGGCCTGGGTCTTGTCAGTAACACGAGTGTGCATATAATATGTACAGGTAGAAGTGTATTCATGTATTCTATATTTATATATAAAGATGATTCATATAATACACATTATTCAAAATGCCAATAGTATTGTGTATTTCCAGTGACTATATTCTCAAAAAAAAAAAAATCGGCTCTCCTTGTACTTTTCTTCTCAACATCAATCTACAAAATGCAATAAATAGAAAATTGCACAGTGTGTCCATAAGCAGTTTCTTTTACAATAATTACAGTGTCTCTACATAGATCCACAAGGCCATGTCTGATTTCCAGGGTTCGAGGATTGGCCAATTCCAGAGTACTTGCTCAAAGCGAGATGGTGGTGCTTTTTTTTAGCACCTGTGCATGATCACCAATGAACATTGAGAGCACATGACACAGCAAAATAAAGCCCTGTGGAACATGCTACGCAGATACATCTGCTCTCAGCAATAATTAACACTTGTCTAATTTAAAGGCCCTGTCCAATTTACTTGACTGTGGCTTGAACTTATGAATGAGCCTGTGGTAGTGACCGCAGCAAGTTCTCATAGTTGGGCTAGCGTTATTTCAAGCCAAGCCAATTTCAAGTAATTCAGACACTGCTCTGTCAAATTGGCCTTAGTCTGGTACCCCTGCATCACTCACAAACTAATCAGCAATTTTCATTACCTGTACCTAGTTACCCCAGAGACAATTCAATCACGGTTTTTGGCTCTGCCAGTGGCTTTCAGCTCCAGTTTCCTGAGCTAGGTTCTTGGATAACACACATTGGCAAAAGTCAGTTTATGATGAACAGCAAACGTAATACCAACCCAAAGTTATGTTTCAACTCGTTTGAAAATCTGAGGCCTGCAAATGGCTCTGTGTCCACAAAGAAGCCCGTGATGAGGCAAAAGATGTCAGAAATGGCCACAGACTTTGTTTTCAGTAAAGTAACCTGCAATCAAACAAAAAGCTGCATCTAAAAGTTTTGTCTGTTGCTGGCTGGCAGCTGCCACTTTCAGAGGCAGCATTTGATGGTGTCATGATGCTAAGGCTACCAGACCAAAATCTGCCTAGGGCAGCATCCAAATCTGTTGTCTAGAGCTAGGTCCAGGACTTCAATCCATAGGAAATGCATTGAGACACCAAGACATTAGACCTAGCCCTAGCTCTGAATGCCCATTTCGGACATGGCCAAAGGCAACAGAGTTTAGACGAGTGCTACTGAACAATGTACTCTAACAAGAATATTGAATATGGATACAGGCTACCAGTCTGAAGCCACAGCCAGGATCCACTTCAGATAGAACTAAACCAGTTCATTATTTTTCTCTATCAATTTTCGCTCCTCTTTTTTTTTACACAATGATGAAATTATCTAAAATACAATTGCATATATAGTAAACAGTAAAAACCTTGGCATGCCCGGTTCATCACATGATAAAAATTGAAGATTTATTGATAACACAATCAGCACCCTTTAACTGGAAAGAGATTTTGAAACAGGATTTGGGCAAATCAAATTTCAATGTGCCACCAGCAGCAGAAAAAAAAGTCACATGACAAAAATGCACAGCCACCATCCAAAACATACCAAGACCAGCAACAACGTCTGACAAAATTTTTTTCGAAAATTGCATGCTTGGAATTGCAAATGTTTTGCTGTTAGCAATGAAATTAACATAAATCCTGCCCAACTGATTTTTATTCCCTTCTCAATTAATCAAGACCTGGATTAGATGCAGCCAAGAAAATGTGATTCCCAAGTGCATACATGAAATCGAAGGAATCTTCTGATCAACAGTTTTCCACTCATAAAGTACAAAATATCCGAGTTGAATTTGAAAAAGCACACATCAATCCTCCCATTTAAAGTTGATTAAACTTGAGAAAAAGTGAACAGCAAAAACCAACTGACACGACAAGACCCCCTAGGTACTTAGAATTGAAGCTGACAGGGTATAGCACCACTTATTTTACAAAGGCTCATTCAATGTTTATAACAGCAAAGCATGAATAACAAGAAATATTGAATTCTAACATTGAGATAAAAAGACACTTTTTTTTCTTCAGTAAATGTGATCTGCAACAATTTTGACAAAGACGGGTACATTTTTTTTCCAACTACAGTTGAAGAAATTGGCAGTCAGCCTATAACAAATGGCTTGTTGGAGAGCTGTCAAACTTCAAGTAAGCACCTTCAGGAAGGGGGCTAAAATGTGATATTACGATGGAAATAATTTTCTTCACAGGATTCAGACTGTCACTTGGAGTTTAACAAAAACGAATTTTTCAGTCAAGATGCAAGCTCATACAAGTGCTCGAAATGCTAATCATAAACAATACAGCAGTGTGATCATTGGTTTATTTAGATCCCAGAAGGGAAATGATCTCGAAACATGAGGGCATCTTGAATTTAGAAAGAATTTGAGGTCAATCAGAAAAATATGAAATCTCCCAGCAGGCGTAGGCCGATCTTCTAAATTATACAGATTGCCAAACAACTGCTAAGTGAGATGGGGGGGAGGAGAAGACAACTTGAAAGCAATGCGTACAGTCTCAGCCTTTCCAAAATTTGCATATTTGCCAAACAGAATTAAACGGCAACAACTACCCAAACCATACTGACAGCTGATACACATTTTATATGTATTCTCCTGGCACTACACACAAGTGGGTCTACTTGATTTCAAAATACATCTTACATTAACAAAAAAAATGTTTGTACAATATAACAGAGCCACAAGTAACATATGATACAAAGCAGGGTATGTGGTGAATAATGTGTAGCACAGGTTAAAAAGTTAGGCGTGTTACAAGTGTGCCTATTGTTTGTTTTTCGTAAAAAGGAAAGGAAAGGTCACTTGAACCCAATTCAGTGTTTCAATTTGCGATTTTTTGTTTCTTTTTTTTTCAATTCTTTTTTGTAAGTTCTCTATTGTCTGAGATGCCTTACCAAGGAAACCAGGTTTCTTTCTTTG